CTGCAGCAGTAGGGGTAAAGGTGGCTGAAGGCCCAGCACATGGAGGCGCATGGGCTGAAGCCAGGCTTATCTCCGAGAGACTCAGGGGGATTGGGGCCCCCTCCTCTGAAGTAGGCACTGGGGGCAAGGGGAGATCAGAGATAAGAGCCAACCTGGTTCCCTGAGAGATGCAGGGGAGAAGCGGAAGAGATCCGCTGAGGAGCTAACACAGAGGGTGAACTGCTAGCCATCCCAGAGGTCTTGTCTGATGCCTTGGACTTGTGCTTATGTGCCTTATCTGGGGCCGCGGATGAGGCCCGGGGCTTTTGGGTAGAGGCCCTGGTGGTGGCCCTGCTAGCCCTTGGGGTAGCTTCAACCTCAATAGGGGGCTGAGGGGCATTTCTGGTCTCCCCCAATACCTCCGGAGATAGGTAGATCTGCTATGGTATTAAATGGAAAGAAGTGAAAAGGCTCAATCTCCACTGACTTAATAAGCGCTTTGGAGCTCCAAGGTCGATTTCGCTCTGTTCGCTAATGCCTCATGCGACTGAGAAGCTGCTGCGCACAACCTCCTCACTGCCGAATGACCAGGCAAGAAATGGAACGAGGATGAGAGCCGTTGATGCAACGTCGCTGCCTGGGTGCGAAAGTGAGGACACGCTCCTTGTAGCTGACCAGCGTGCGCACGTGCGCAAAAAGGCATCCAAAATGGCAGCCGCAATTTCGGCGGGAGTTTTAAAAACGCTGTTTGAATTGCCGCAGCCAGCTCGGCAAAATCGCCGCAAGCCCAGTGGTCCGGAAAAATCACAGCGATGAAAATCGGGAAATTAGACCACGCCGACCAGGGCGGGTAGTTCCCATTGCAAGCGGCGCAGAACGGCGAACCAATCCCCAGCGCGTGTGGCAGCCAAAGGAGCAGCGAACCAACTCCCGAACGAAGCTGCGGAAGTAAACAGATGGCTCGGTTTCAGCATTGCCGAATTCTCTGATGTTAAAATCGTGGAGAACGCTCTCAACGCTGTGAGTGCTGTGACTGACAATGAATTGTTGATACCTCAACTCCGTGCCTTAAGGTTTATCAGTAAAAGTCACTTACACGTCCAAATAATGAAAAAGAATCCATGGAATCCTGAGTAATTTGTCAATTACTCTAGAGAAAATTGATATACGTCTCTTTAGCCTGGACTGAGTTAAAAAAACTGATCCATCCAGTCAGAGGAGGCATGGCCAACAATTACGTAACTCAGTCTCTAGGCTAATGGACAAAGTTAACCCATGCTTGGATTCCCCAAGCAGCGCACAGGAGAATTGCCAATTGGGAACCTGTTTCCAGACTGTCTTCCAAGCCCTTCCTCCCAAGTCTATGGCCAGCTTAGTCAGAAAAAAGCTAAGTTGCACTCTATAGCCGGCATTTTACCCATAAGTGAGTCCGAACAACTTTTTCTTCATCCTAATTTGAGTTATCATTATTTTTGCTACAAACAGAAATTTAATCATAAACTACAACTCTAGTTGCAGACAAAATTGTTAAAAGAATATATATATATATATATATATATATATATATATTNCAAGGACCAGTGGTGGGTTTCAAAAAAAATTTGGGACCTCTTCTGTAGGTGTGGCCTGCTTTCCGGGTCCACTGGTGGAACCTCTTCTAACCAGTTCCGTAGATTTGACGAACCGGTTCTACCGAATAGGTGCAAACTGGTAGGAACCCACCTCTGAATCAAACCCACGGTGGTTTAGGCTCACAATCCCGAATTCCCGCAGGTTGGTCACTTTATGAAACTCCCAACCAACCAATTGATTTTTTTTTTGCTTTCCTACCCGCGACAATGTGCACCAATAATGAGATTTCAGTTGAAAGCTTTTTATTAAATCACCATCCAAACAGCTCTTTTGCCTATCCCCCCGTTTTCTGCATTTCTCTGGCTCCTTCAATGGGTCGATTGCGCAGAGCCTTCACAGCCCCATCAAACCAACTGAACAAACTAGCTTTCGGCAAAAAAAACCCAAAATTTCCTTCCGGCTTAACCCGAGTAGGAGGGACGTCTCCCCCTTTCCCAAAAAAAGGAGGGGTAAGTCGGCCAAATTCTCTCGTTTAAACTAGCAGAATAATTAAGGCTATTCTGATATATATATATATAATTATAATTTTAATCATAATTATATATATATAATATATAAAATTAGTCTTCTGACCCCTCCTTTTTTTTTCTTCTCTTAACCGGCTCCCGTCACAATTAACATTTTCAAAAATGAAAACATTTTCGTTGGCTTGGAGACTGGCAACGCCAAGGGGGCGAGGGGTCCCAAGGGGCCAACTTCCTTCTCACGTCAGGATGGTGTCGTCGATCTGTTCCACCGAGTCAGCTTGGTTGGCCAGCTTCTTCAGGGACCGCCGGCAACTCTCGCTCAGCAGCTCCAAGCTGGCAGCGTCAAGGATCTTGGAGACGGACTGCGAGAAAAACCGAAGTTAGGAGAGAGAGGGGGTGGGTGGGGGGGGAATGGTTTTCAGTCCAGACTTCTGGACTTCTAAGGCTATAATAAAAGGTGTCCTTTTTGTCCCCGCGGCCTTATTGCCAGGTCCCAATTCACCACCTTGGCCCTTCTCATCATTTAAAATTATTTATTTATAGCCCGCCTGTATTATTTTGGTAAATAACTCAAGGCACTGAACATTATAGCAATAGCAGTTAGACTTATATACTGCTTCATAGGGCTTTCAGCCCTCTCTAAGCGGTTTACAGAGTCAGCATATTGCCCCCAACAANGTCCTTGGGACAGAAGAGGCACTGCTACTAGTGAAGTCCCACTCTAGCTCTGGGGATAAAAGGCAGGGGGCGGAGATGAATAGATGTGGCAGTCAACTATTAATCTCCTTGCTGGACAGATTTGTTACCCTGCGGGGAAAAACTATATATATATTTTTTTCCCATCACAGTTCCTGCGCGAATATATTGTGGATATGCCCGAAGACGACTACAAGCAGTGGTTGCAAGCTCGGGTGCCGTTCCCTAAACGCGTGCACAGCGCCCCTCCACTGTGATCCTGATGCTCAAACGGGAGATCCCCCTACATGGAAGAAAGGGTCGCCGGGGGATCCCCGAGAGATCGCATTCTGGTGGATGCCGAAGGATCCAGCTGGAAGACTTAGAAAATGCTCATTCCCAGAAGTTTGCGTTGAACCCTTTCTGGTTGCGGGTTCAAACGCAGAGAGAAATTGATCAGCCAAAACCGTCTTCATCTTAGAATATTGTTGTTCTGCTTTTTAAATGTTTTTGTGGTTGCATTGAATTTAATGTTTATGTTAAGGGGAGAGGGGGTTGGTTACATAGAGAGTTGGCCCAGTCTTGGTCTCTAGGACAGCAGATCCCTTCCCTTACGGTGATCAGCTTCGTCCACTGAACAAGCAGGCCTTAGGGATCATCGGATCCGCCTCTTACTTGTTATGGTTGTTCTGCATTTAACTTGGATGGATTAAAAAATTCCTATTTAAGCATTGCAGTGCCTCTGAAAGCCTTATTATTTTTGACCAGCTGCAAAAAAACATTATAGCCAACGATGTTGTGCAAAAAACCCGACACCAAGAAAAGAAATCTGTTTGAAATCCCCGAGGATCACAGTAAACCAGGGAAGCAACTGAGTTAAACCACGTGGTGTTGATTTTAGTTGGGGACTTAATGCAGCATTCCTGAACCTCGGCAACTTTTAAGACTGGTGGGCTTGAACTCCTAGAATTCACCAGCCAGCGTGGATTAGGGTTAGAGCTGACTTGAGGAATTCTGGGAGTTGAAGTCTGCAGGTTTTAAAATTGCTAAGGTTTGGAGACCTCTGACTTATAGTGCTATATCACATCCTCTCAGCAGGGGTGAAATGCTACCGGTTCGGACCACTTTGCCCAAACCGGTAGTAAAAATAGCTACCGGTTCGCCTGAACTGGTAGTTTAAAAAAATGCTACCAGTCGGGCGAACCGGTATTTCCGACGATCAGTTGTGACGTGCGATTTATATTAGCTAGAAAGCAGGGTTACCTCTGCAGGCGCACTCGGTAACAGGCTCCACCCACCCGCCCGGACGTAATCACGTCCGTTTTTGACGCTCCGCGCATGCACGGAAAGTTCACACTTGCAAACCGGTAGCGAAGGTAAATAGATTTCATCTCTGCCTCTTAACTTATGGCAGTAGAATGAAGTCCACCTGTCTTAAAATTGCCAAGGACCAGAAACCCTGGGTTAAGGTATTGCATGAATCAAACCAGTGGTGGGTTTCAAAAATTGTTCGAACCTACTCTGTGGGTGTGGCCTCCTTTGTGGGAGTGGCTTGCCGCCCATGTGACCNAGGATCAAAATTCATACCTTTGACAACTGACTCATATTTATGACGGTTGCAGTGTCCCCGGGGGGGGGGGGGGGGGGGGTTCCTTGGGATCCCCTTTTGCAACCTTGACAAAGTCAATGGGGAACCCGGATTTACTTAACCGTGTTACTAACAGCAGTGGCAAGAAAAGATCGCACAGTGGGGCAAGGTTCACTTAACAATTGTCTCACTAAGCAACAGTAACACGGAGCTCAACAGTGTTTGTTAAGTCAAGGGTTACCTCTACCTGTAATTCAGGGGTGGGCTTCAAAAATTTTAGCAAGGGGTTCTCTGCCCGTTTGCTGGGTGAGTGTGGCCATGGTGGGCGTGGCCTAGTTGGCCTCCTAAAACACAGCGGAGGGGGGGCGTTTCTGCCCTCCCCAGGATCCGGAGGCTTTCCTCAAGCCTCAGGGAGGGCGAAAACAGCCTCCCCAGGCTCCAAACAAACTTCCAGTACGCCCATTTTTCGCTCTCCCTGAGCTTCCACCCTGCACTTACCTGCCTCCAAATCGGGTTGTGTAGGGACTCCGCAGAGGGATGGGCGGGGCCAGCCAGGACTGGGATTGAGGGGGATCTCTGAACTGCACAGAATCTTAGCTAGAGGCTCTCACGAACCCCTGCGACTCCCCACCACCCAGCAGCCCACCCCTGCTGTACATGCCTTACCTATGACAAGGCCCCAAGGAAGCCATTTAATAATATTCAGCCGGAGGTGGATGGTTGATGGGCCAGCATTCTATCTAAAACCAGAGGGACCACGAGAAACATCTGAACGTCTCACCTGGGTTCTTCAAGTACCAAGATGAAAGGCGGCCGAAGATGCCAAAAAAGTCGTGCAGGTGCTGCTTCCCAGACTGAGGGATCATGGGTAGCAACGTGATTAACACTAGTACCCCGGTGGTGAGGACCACGACGTCGGTGTCAGTCTGCCAGAAAAGCGGGAAAACCATATATATATATATATTTTAGAGTTGGGCTGTCTCTAGAGAAAATGACAGTAGCTGAATTTCCCATTTCAACCTTCTTTCAACAGCCCATTTTTGAAAAGCTTCCCCCGTACAAAAAAATGCTTCGAGGTCTGGGATTAAATAGGCAGCTGATACGTCAAGGACGAGCTGGGAAGGATGAGTTTGAAATAAGCTACTTTAAAAACGTTAACGGCACGCATTTCGAATAGACGTAGTCTCCAAGCGGAGTCTGCAACCTTGGGAAAAGTGGAGGGGGGAAAAGGGAGGACATCCAGTCACCGAGTGGAGGAATTCAACTGCAAGAGCATTGTTGGAAGAAGTGAAGATGGAGGACAGATCCTCAAAAAGAAGCAATACCCCTTAAGATTTATATACCGCTTCACAGTGCTTTACAGCCCCCTGCAAGAGGTTTACAGAGTCAGCCTTTCACAATCACCCCCACCCCACTCAAACAATCTGAGTCCTCAGTTTACTGACCTCGGAAGGATGGGAGGCTGTTGTGGCCCAGCAGGAGCCGTTGGAGCTGCCACCAGACTCCAACAGCAGGGGGCCCTATGAGTCGGCCCTGGAGGATGTGGAGGACCCTGGACAGGGTTCCGACTCCGAGCAGGGCACAGAGATACTG